TTGATCAATGCTCCACCATTTTGAGATCTGAGGCTGTCTGCATACAGTGTCCATCTCCCACGCGTGACTATTAAAATCATCGTTTGACTTAACCCGGCCGGACCAGTGTTGTTATTGTGGTTTTTCCTTTTGTCTCCATCCCCAATTTTGAACTCGTAACAGCTGTTTAGGAAGAGGGGAGAGTTTTGGGAGTGACGTAACGGCAGCGAGACAGAGCGAGAGAGCGAGTTTTAAGATGTGGGAGATTTGTGACATTTAGTGTGGAGTGTATACTTAGTGTGTTGTGTAGTCGTTGTTTTGTTTTATGTGTCAGTGAGGGCACTAATGAATGTCACAAAGGCACATTTGGAACGTAAACACTGAGTAGAAAACCAGCGGAGTGATACACCTCCTGTTGTCAGGCCTGCAGGTTTATCCCTGTGCTGTTCTCCTCTATCTTTTGGTGGACAAACTTTTTTCTTTTTTTTTTTCCTTTTTTTACTGGCACACATCTTATTGCAATACCTGATTGTTCTCTCATTTTAGTTTTAGTAATATTTTAAAATGGTTGTACAAAAATGAAAACAAAAACAAAACGGCAGGTGTATTGGCTGCATTTTTATAATATAGTTTAATATAATTTTTATAGATAAATTGTTGTTTATGTTTACAAAATGTACATTTTATATTTGCATTTCAAGTTATAAAAATGTACTCAACATGTCTGTGTTTTTTTTACAGTAAAGAAATACTACTAGGATTTTAAGTTCTTTGTGTGATTTCAGATCAGTAATACTAATGCAGTATGTCAGTGGAAAAAAAACAAACAACTAAATTCAGTTGAGCTTAAAAGAATGATACCAAACAAGGCAAGGGGAAAAGAATAAAATGAAACAATCTGAGGGTGAAATACAAATGTAAACTCAAAAGGAGTCAAAAATGGCCGTTTGTATTTCAGACCTCAGTGGGTGAATCCAACAAATCATGAAAAATTAGGTTTAAATTTTCATGACAGTGCAGATTTCTGACATTTTGTGTAATTTAAGCATCTAACAATGTGATTGTTTTCTAACAAAAAACAGTGTGAAACTTAAGTTAGACTTGTGTTTGTAAATGAACCGCCCCATGTTGTATAGCTTTCTGGATTTTATACTTATTGGGCTACATATTTATTTATTATACAGGCTATACAGCACATAACATCAAAACTCACATGTTTTATGTAACTAAAGTGTGTAATTATGTGGGCTACAGACAATAATTAAGTTATAGACTATATTTATATGAAAAACGTGTATACTTACTGCATTTGAATTATTTTAACCACACGTAACCACCTGCATATGTGTTTGAAAAAAAGAAAAAAGAAAAAAGAAAAAAAGGCTTTGATTTTGCCACCCCATTTGATTTCTTTGCCACCCTAAGAAAATTTCTCTAGATCCGCCCCTGTTCCTGTGGTCTAATTTCTCAGGAAAACAAAACTCATCTGACAATCAACTGGTTGCTGACGTCACAGTGACGTCTGGCAGCAGGTGTCAGCTTGTTTCCTGTCAGCTTTAGAGACAACACCCACCACCGACAATAACAACAACAACAACAACAACAACAATAACAAGAATAATGATGAAGATGGTAATAAGGTTGATGTGTGGATGATAAAGATGATGAAGATAAGGATGTCTCTGTTGCGGCGGAAACTTTGTTTCTGTTTCATTTCCTTAACTTTCGTTCAGCCTCTGTGTGTGTGTGTGTGAAAGAGAGAGAGAGAGACACACACGCACGCACACGCGCGCGCGCGCACACACACACACACACACACACACACCTGCCCTTGCCGAACTTGCAGGTTCCGTAGATGTAGAATCTGCAAAGGTGCAGTTGGTCACAGTCTGCGCACGGCTCCCCGAGCCGGTGGCTCACGCACACGCGCAGTGACGTCTGCGCCAGCACCGTGCAGTCCTCGGGGCGTAGCCAGCCATCCGTCTCCGGCCCGCGGACCAGCAGGAAGCGGGGATGCCCATAGACCAGCTTGCAGAGGAGCTCCTCGGAGACACGACAGAGTCGCCGCAGCTCCTCGTATAGCTGCGGGAGCCGCAGAGCTCCTCCGGCGGCGCACAGCAGCCTAGTCGCCTCAAAGATCACTCGGTCGCACCCAGACATGCTCTCTGCTCGGCGTCCAGACTCCGACTGAGGACGGGGGAGGCGGACCGACAAGCATGTGACAGCCGGGCTTCCGCTCTCAGTGACGTTTAATCGCGGAGCCTCATCAGTTTGTCACTGCCACAATAATAAATACAGGCGAGCACCATATAACACAACCGGAAATAAAGTAAAATACATGTCAGTCACATTAATAAACAAACTGCAAACCCAAGTGTCTGTCTCTCTCCGGAGCAGGTGAGTCCTGGTTCGAGCACAGCTCTGGTCCTTCATCACTGGATCATCACTTACATTTATGAGCGCCAGTAAACGCGTCACTCAGTGTTTCACTGAAAGAGTTCATAAAGCTTACATGCAGGATTTATTTCACCATGTCATCATCCAGTTGTCTGTGCAGCAGTGTACGGCGTGTCTGTGCAGACGTGTTTACACTGCTCGCTCCGTCAAAGGACCACCACGAGAGACGTCGTTACTTCAGTCTGAGCTCGTGGTTGTCGTGAACGTTTAGCTTTGTCTAGTTTGTGTGCAAGCGCCATGAACCATAAATTGAAACTCTTCATAAAATGACTGTCACGGTCCATTTTACTGTGTTACCGGTGACAACACCTGGGCCCTATTTCAGGAAGCCGGTTTAGAAAACTCAGAGT